TGAAGGGAGTAAAAAGCCCTGCCTTTTTCCCTCAGAGTGGCTGGTGGTTTTGAACTGCCAACCTTGTGGTTTGAAGCCCAATGATACCAGGGCTCCTTGACAACAGAGGTACTAGCAAACAAATAACAGCAATCCAATTTTCCCTCTATACATTGTTAATTACTTTTGGGGTAGAGATATATAGGAAATCCCAAATGGCAAACACAGTTTTGCATTACTGGGAACAAATGGCCATTTTCAAAACGTCAGAAAGCAAGTGAACCAGACTGGGCAAACTTACAGATCTGAGTGGAATAAAAACAGGTGTCGCTCCTGCCATTCTCACCATAGGCTCGTAGCAGTCATAGAAAGGAACTATTATTATCACCTGAAATAAAAACAAATCAAGGTATTATATGTCAATTTATGAATTCATTCAACATTGTGTACCTACTGTGTGCAAGGCACGTTTCTGGTGTTGAGATGCAGCACTGAAAATGTTGACCTTGCCTTCACGGAGCTAAAGTGTGAGTATATGAGACCTTGGGACTAAACTTCATTGGAGTCTGTGGCCCCTTCGGGAGATCTATTAGCGGATGGCTTTGCAGTGGGGGGTCCATAAAATTGCATCCCAATTTTCTATGTGCATAAGCAGCTTTTTTTTTTTTTTTTTGGAGGTAGTGGCCATACTCCTAATCAAGGATGTTCCATACATAAAAATTTTCTTTCTACTTCAAATGATAGAATAAAATCTAGAATTTCCCCCCTTAACTGTAGGTGGTATATCAAACAATGGCAGAGCAGGACTCGAAGGAAAGAAGATAGCACTGCAATGATCTATGATGGAGCACTGTTTAAAAAAAGCATCGTCTTGAAAAGAATGATGCTTCTCTCTTCTTCAAAAGCATTCCAAAACAGGGTGGATACACAGAGACGAGTTAGGATATTACTGTGCTTGTGTGACATCCAGTTTTCCTTCAAGTGTCTCATATCCGGGTCCTTTTTTCTTAGTTCCATGACCCTTTGCCACCAGACTTCGGGCCTGACTTTCAGGTCAGTGGGGCAATTCAACAGTTCGATCGCTACCATACGCCTAATTCCCAATCTTGTTCTAAGGTTCTGCCTTTTTGCTTTTCTAAGAAAGTTTGAGTGCACAATTTATAACCATCATATACATTCAATTTTTTTCTTTTTTAAATGTCATAGTTCTTGAAATTTTCATATTATTATAGTACTCATATTTACTATTCAATTTTGGTAGAAGAGTCATGAATTCTAGAATAATTTTATTCCCTTTTGGTTGTGTAAATAATAGCACTGTATGTATAGTTTCTCATATTTTAAAATTAAAAATAACGAGTTTGCTAACTAAATTTCTATAATTTCTATTGCTAGACTAATGAGAGTCTTCATTGCTAGACTGACTAGAGTCTAAAGATTGTTATGACACTTTTTACATACACACACACACACACACACACACAGCCAAATTGCTTTAAAAAGTCTGATAAGTTTATAGTTTCATTAATCTACACGAAGTTGTCTCAGTTAATTAAAAAAATGAATGATACCCAATTAGTTCCCTTGTTAAATGAGTGGTAAGTTAGCACTCTCTTTATTATTTACCATTATGTTTCTTATCATATGAAGTATCTGTTCAAGAATTTTCACACCAAGGTTTCATGAGGCCCTTACACTCTACAGTTCCTTTATGTCTATATCAATTGTTGAACTCCGTCTGAGTGCCTGCCAGGTACACTGTATTAAAAAGTAAAATTACAAACAAACAAACAAAAACTGTCCAAACTCACTGCCGTTGAATACATTCTGACCCGTGGTGACCTACAAGGCAGGAAGGAACTGCTACTGTATCTTTTTATGGGAGTAGAAAGCCTCATTTATTTTTCTCCTGCAGAGTTGCTGGTGGGTTTGAACTGCTGACCTCACAGTTAGTAGCTCAAATCATAACACTATTCCCCCAGGGCTCCAGTACTTCATATTAGGTATTAGCTATTGTTGAGGACCCAGAAATGAATCAGGGAATCCCTCAAATGGTCTGTAAATTCTTCATTAATCTGTGATGTTCTCACACAAGAGTGGTGCTTTCAATGAAAAAAAAATT